CGCGTTTAATATGAGCTAAGTACTCTCGTGCTCACAAACAACTAAACTCTTTTTTGTCAGTCAGTGGGCGGGCACAGTCGCGTGGTATCGCTGAATATGATTGGCTACAGTGACACAGTCCCCCTCTGACAAGATTTGAACAGCCTTAGGTCCCTTCCCGTTTGTCAAAAAGTCCAAAGACCAATCATAAAAGAGGACGACTGTTTCACTGTGGCCAATCATATTCAAGGATTCAAGACCGTGCCCGCTGACAAAAAAAGAGATTACATTTGCGAGCATGAGAGTACTGAGCTCGTGCCAAGCGCGACGAAAACAATCATGCGTGCGGTACGATCCTGTGTGCACGAAATATCCTTTTTACTTTTGGGATGTTACCTTCCTTTCTTTAGTCCTTCAAGCTTTCCTAGTTTTACTTTCTCTCCCTCTCCCTTTTCGCTTCCTTTCTTTTTTTGCTCTGTCTTTCTCCATGTTCTTCCTTGCTCCTCTTTATTCATTTCTTTATTCCTCCTTCTACCTTCTGCCTTCTTTATCCTCTCTTGTATGCCCACTTTCTTTCACTGTTCCTTCCATTGTGCCTTCTTTTCCACATTAGGGTACTTCCTTCCTTACTTCCTATCTCAACTAAATGCATCCTTTCATTTTTCCTTTAATCTTTCCTTCGTTAACTACGTTTTTTCGTCACTTTTTAGCCCGTCCTCCTTTCACTTATTTATAATTTTTTATTCTACCTCCTGTTCTTACACTACTACATTCACTTTCATATTCTATCTCTCGTTCACTGTATAATGAAAATGTGCATACATGCTTCCTTGAATGCTACTCTCTTTCTTTCTCCCATCCTCAAGATATCTCCATCCTTCCCTCTTTTCTTCTGTGGTTTTTCCACTGTGCTCTTTGTTCTTTCTTCGTGTCCTTTCCTTCCCCCCCATTACCAGTTATGACATTTGACATGTCTGAACAACAACAGTGTCACACACATTGCCTCACATGTATGAATGCATGCAAAAATGCCTCCACACACACAATAACACACACCCATACACACACTCCCATGCACAGACGCAGAGCTGAGCTGTGCACAATGAGGCCATTTCTAAAGGAATAAATCACCTGAATTAGAAAGGTTCGGTCATCATGACACCAAAACACACACACACACACACACACACACACACACACACACACACACACACACACACACACACACACACACACACACACACACACACACACACACACACACACTCTTTTGGGCATATTCATCCAGTCAGGTCAGCGTATCCCTCTGCAGGGGGAGATACAGTTCCTGCCACTGACAAGAGAAGAATAAGAGGCTGTTGACTGCAAGCGTGTGTGTGTGTGTGTGTGTGTGTGTGTGTGTGTGTGTGTGTGTGTGTGTGTGAGAGCTGTCTGGCCTATCAAGCTCGTTATTAAATATCCATGAGACCATTAAGCTAAATAGATGAATGGGACTCCATTATTGCTCTGCTCGCGCACACGCTCACAAACACACACACACACACACATACACAACACACACAGACACAGAAAAACCCACACACACTACATATTGCTCTGGCTGCTGAATATGAGACTCTTTGTTAAACTGAAAATGACTGCAGGAACAAGAGGAAAATGAAATAAGGAACAAAAAAGAGAAAAGTGACAAAATATGTTCCTGCCTCCTTGTCTCTCATCCTTTCCTTCATTTGATACACCCTTCTTTCCTTTCCTCATCTTTTCCTTCATGTACCTTAAAAAGGTTGAACCTCCATGTAATAAATGTTGCTTAATGATGTATACATACAGTATATATCAAAGGGTTAGCTGCTCAGCACTTTTCTCTTCTTGATTTGAACGCCCTATCATGTAAAATTTGGATAACTTAATTTTAAAGAAAAGTTGTTTTTAGTCAGAGAGTACAAACAGGATTGTTTGTTTGTGTAACGTTGTGAACTTATCGTGATGTGTTGCCACACAATCACACATAAAAACAAACAATTCAAGGTTGGGGTAGACCAGCGACTTCAATGTTATGCGAGGTAAAATAATGATATCGCAGCCATCACAGCCGGATATGAGTTTGAAGCTCAAAGTGTCTTAAAACATAACAAAAAAGGATCGCTATGGTGGCTTGTAGTTGATTATAGCAACCAGAAGCAGCTGTTCAAACTCCTGAGAAGAAAGGGATCATTTGACCACCTAGAATACGAGAGTTGCTGGTCTACTTTTGCCTGTTGTTGACATTTTTTGGGTGATATTTTGAGACACACATTTTATGTTGAACTGAACTCACTTTTCAAAATAAAGTCAAATAATCAGTCAGACAAAGGCCGGGCATACACTGTACTATACCACTAAGTCGTGGTTCATACTGTTTACGATGCACGATCAAAGCTCTGAATTGATGTGCTCACGCAGTATGAATAATGATAGAGAAAACACGCTCAACTCCCTTTCAACGTAAAGCAACTGGGTGCTGAATCCTGAAAAATGTTCAAACAACAAAAACAATTCGGACAGCACTCCAAATGTGTATTTTTAATTGCCACATTAATGTTTCAAGCAGACGCTCTTCTTCAGCGTGTAACAGGTAATTTAAAAAACAATTGCACTAATTGTTTTTCTCACTGTATAACCCAATTATCATGCATGACCTGAGAGATCCCACTGTACGAGTCAAATCAGGACTGAGCACTGAAAATTGTCAATAAAGTACCTTTGAGAACTCCCACAGATGCAAGTTGAAGTCAAATCTACAGTATGTGTATTTCAGCTGTCTCAGGTGCACAGCTCAAATACACACTCAATCAAAAACACCTCTCACTCTCACTCACACACATACAAGCAAGCATCATTGACAAACACAAGATAACTGTTGCCATGGTGATTTCTGATGCTGTCTAACAAATTGCACAGGAAAAAAAAACAACCTGAATTTGAGGAATCAGCTCGTGGTTTTGCTGTTACTGTGTGAGTATGTGCAGTCATACAACCAAAATGTAAAACATGTCTGAAATTCATCTGACCGGTCAGGAGCAGCTGATCGAGCTGTGATCTGCCTCATGTACACTGAAAACAATGTTCAATCGAGCTGCAATTCGGCCTGACTTCAAAATCAACATTTATGTTGCTGAAGGAATCTACTGAAGAAATTCAAATTTTTTGTCCTCGTCCGTAAATGAAATGCAAAGCTAAACCCCTTGTTTACAAGTTCCTGAGTTAACTGTCAGTTTTTCTTATTTCTCTTTGATTTATTTACTTGATTTCACTTCACAGTTGTCCAAGTGAGTTTGTATGAAAGCAGTGGAGCTCTAAGCCACGTGTTTGTGTGTCAGAGTGTGTGTGCATGTGTGTGTGTGTGTGTGTGCATGTGTGCACCATCAGATATTGGTACTTTCTCTTCTCCAGTTACCACCTCCTGTCTGCTCTGAATCCCTCTGATTAAAGACACACACACACACACATGCACACACACACACACACACACACACACACACACACACACACACACACACACACACACACACACACACACACACACACACACACACAAACACACACACACTCCCACTAATGGACTGATTGATGTGTTTAGAGGTGTACACATGTTCTTGCCGGTTGCGGGGTGGTACATTTTATAGTAAGGGCGGGTAAATTGAGCCCGCAAAGAACAGTGTGTGGGTGTGTGTGTGTGTGTGTGTGTGTGTGTGTGTGTGTGTGTGTGTGTGTGTGTGTGTGTGTGTGTGTGTGTGTGTCAGGGGGGGTAAGATGAGATGACAGATAGTTATCAGAAGAAAGGAAATCGTTCTTCTCTTATTGTCCGGCAGGGTGACTACTCTCTGCTTGTGTGTGTGTGTGTGTGTGTGTGTGTGTGTGTGTGTGTGTGTGTGTGTGTGTTTGTTGTAGAATGCCTTATTTTTTACCAAAGAAAAAAACACTTTGATCGTCATTCTTCCTGTAACGTGTCAGTGTGTATAACTTGACATAGAAGACAAAAGACTTTGTATTATGTGTATTTTGATTAAAGCAACATGAAGAAAGGAGTTGTAAAAAAGCTATACACTAAAGGATAAGATCATGGGGTCATTCTTGAGGAAAAGGTCAGGAGTTCAACACAATCATTTAAGTTTCTTTCACAGGAGGACAGAGGTATTAAGTATTAAGAGTATTAAATTTAGCCGAAATCAGGTCAGAAGTCATTCTTTTATGTCACTCAGGACGAGAAGGGATTTTTTATCTTATCAGCTTATCAGATCCGTCATTTTTAAAAAGGGACCGTTTTTTTCTCTCTGCTTGGAAACGGTGGATTGCTCCCTCCAGGTGGGGAGTGAGTCTTTGCCCTGAGTGAAGGAGTTTAAGTATCTTGGGGTCTTGTTTAAAAGTGAGGTTAAAATTGACCGGGAGATTAACAGGAGGATTGGTTCAGCGTCGGCAGTACTGCTGTTGATGTACAGGACCGTTGTGGTGAAGAGGGAGCTGAGCCTGTAGGCAAAGTTCTCCATTTACTTTATTTGGTCTTACTCTTTCTCAATCTGTGTTATTTTTTAGGGTAATTTTGTTTTAAATAATGGAAAGAAAATTGTAGAAGTTGAGAGATGGATAAATTAGAGTCTTATATAAATGTTCATAGGTCAAACAGGAAGAGAGAAAGAGGTGGACGGAGAGAGCAAAGGTCAGCAGATCAACATTTATTCCACCTGAATCTCTCAGTAGATCTCACTTAAGAAATCAGCAATTCTTTGTACGGAGTTAAACACAGGGTCACCAGTAAAATATCCAACCTTCCTCTCACCTTTACATCTCTTTTCCTTATCAGTCCATGAATCTATCTTGCTCTACTTTAGGACTTTTAACTTAATTCATACCACAGAGGCACCTTGATGAACCATAAACAAAAAAGTCCAGAAATCAGCAAACATTCGTTCAGCAGACTCATTTGTTCCAGCAGTGCGGGAAAAAAAATCTAATGTTTTAGCCAAGGTTCACAGCTCACTCACCACAAGGTTCCCAATGACCATGACCAGCATGAAGACCAGGAGGCAGAGCGGCTGACCAGCAACCTCCATGCAGTCCCACATAGTCTCGATCCACTCTCCACACAGCACCCTGAAGACGATGAGGAAGGAGTGGAAGAAGTCCTTCATGTGCCAGCGAGGAAGAGCACAATCCTTTGAGATCTTACACACACAGTCCTGGAGGAGGGAACATAGAGACAGACTGATGAACTGAACCTGTGTTAATATGAATCTAGATGATATCCAGACTCTGTTTTGGTTAAAGTACGGGTGGCGTTACCTGGTAGTTTTTACCAAACAGCTGCATGCCAACCACCGCGAAGATGAAGACGATGATGGCGAGGACGAGCGTCAGGTTGCCCAGGGCGCCCATGGAGTTGCCGATGATCTTGATCAACGTGTTGAGTGTCGGCCACGAGCGAGCGAGCTTAAACACACGAAGCTGGAAGGAAAGAGAAACACGAGTGAAGAGCCTGAGTATCACAAGGTCTTGACAATCTCCCAGGAACACGGCTGATAAGATCACCTGTGTTCAGTGTTCCCTCATGTGACAGTTTGCGTCCTTTAGGTTCTGTTTCAAGGTGCCTTTAGTGTCAGCTCTTTCTTTTACATCTTTAGGTCGATAATAAGGCAACCACAAGTTCTTTTTTAAACTTTCTGACTCATGATAATGTCTGATTTAAGGTGATCTTCAGGGAATCCTTACAAGACTGTTTTAAGGTACACTTAGTTAACTTTTTTGAGGTTTCCGTTAACTTCATATTTAGGGTCTTTTCTTACTTTTACACATGTGGTTATGACTGTAATTAAGTCATTTCAACTAAAAGCTGCTGTTCAAGGGTACACTTTACCACATGTTTGCTTTCCCCTTTACTAACCCATTAAAGTCTGATTTAAGGAACCTTTAACCTCCAATGTCTTCATTTTGGGTCTGATTAATATAGCATACATTTAAAGGTGTTTTCTTGATGGAAAAGGCAAAAAACAAAGAAACAGAAAGGGTATAAAGAAGGCAAAAAAGAATGAAGCAAACACGACCATAAGTGTTCTTATTACCGTGTCTGTTTGCCTCGGGAAGTATCTGACACAACGTGGAACGACGCGTTGAGAGATCGACTCAGACAGGCATCAAATGTCTGTGTGTGTGTGTGTTTTCTGTGTTTGTGTGGTTGGCTGATATGTCGATCATTATCCATGTGTTTGGCAGCAAAATCAACCACAGCTAATCCTTACTTTTCAGGGACATCCCCATCAACAGCCAATCATCTGATCGCCTTAAACTGCTCCCATTTAATTGGTGTATAGTAGTATTATAGTATATTGGACAGTATAGTAAGTGTACAATGTTTGCTGTCTCATTCTGTTTTCCTGTCTCTTGACTACTTATGATCAAATTAATTTATGTGAGCACTGTAAAGAATAGAAAATAGCATCACTGAAAATCCAGTGAAAAAAGGTCTAAATGTACCCAACAAGTCAACGTCTCTATTAGTATAACTTCATGTATGGTTGTGTTTGGCGTTGTAGTCCGAGTTACCAGTCTGAAGGAGCGCAGCACACTGAGCCCCTCCACGTCCGACAGGCCGAGCTCCATGAGGCTGAGGCAGACGATGATGCTGTCGAAAATGTTCCAGCCCGTTTGGAAGTAGTAGTACGGATCCAGAGCGATGATCTTCAACACCATCTCTGCTGTGAAGATCCCCGAAAACACCTGCGCACACACACACACACACACACACACACACACACACACACACACACAGGTACAGAGAGGATTTAAACATGTACAACAACAGACGGGTTTATCTTAATATTAATGATCAATTCTGTATATTTAACGCTTGAAATCAGCTTTGACACAAACACCCACACCAGAAAGCTGGACACATTCAGGTGGACACACAAACACAACCACACGCATCAACGCACATAGAGACACAAGAGTTAAGTGGAGGGCAGTGTTAGCCAACGGGTAGGACTGTTCAGACAAGATTAGGTTAAAATAAACACACACATACACACACACACACACACACACACACACACACCCTATAACTCTGGCTGATGTACACAAGTTCCTTAAAAGCCAACAAGAGTTAACCTGCTGAACAACATCGAGACACTCCAACACAGTTACGGGCTATGTTCTTCTTAGCATACTCTGTTAGCATAAAATAACAACTGAAGAACATGTTTGTGTTTTATTTTTATTAGAGTTTTTTTTTTTTTTTATCTTAACTGATTTTAAAATTGTAGGAGACCTTTACGATTCCAGATCGGGGAGGTTCTTACTCGATGAGGAGCCGTAAAATAATCGTAGTGACACCACACACCTGAGGTTTCTTTGGACAAAAAGAACCCCCCCCCCCCCCTTCCTTTTTATCACTTTAAGCCTCAATATAATTAAAACAGGTGAATTGTTTTAAAATTCAGTCTGTATATTCGTCATGAAAAGAAAAATGAGCTTTAACACCAAAACTGTTTCTGTACCAGGCTGAAGAAACATACATATTTCTGCTGTAAAGTTGGATATTTTTATCATGAGCCTCTATGGTGATTGACTCACTGCAAGAGGCAGCCTCTTGTGGCCATTTGAGGAACTGCAGTTCAACAGCACCTAAGAACAATTAGTCAAAAAGCAGTACCATATTAAAATTACATTTTTTGTAAAGTGTAGGAACACAGATATGCAGCTTGCAGCGCTGGTTCTGATCTGTGTCATTTTCTGAAACTCCGATTAATTCAGACATCCCTTTTCTCAGCTGTTTGCTCCTGTGGTTTGATCCTTTAAGCCTCTCTCTCTGCAGACCTCAGCTTGTCCAGTGTTTGTGTCACTCTGCCTTACATCACGTGTGTGTTTGATGTCTTAAAGTGTGTATCTGTTCAAAGTGTACGTTTTAGTGTGTGTGTGTGTGTGTGTGTGTGTGTGTGTGTGTGTGTGTGTGGTTTGTTCATGCAGAAGCAGCAGCAGCCCCCCTCCCTGCTTGTTGTTCCAGAAAGAAGGGGATCCTCGATGTGACACCGGCTACGTGACACACGTGTGTCCATTTGTCAGCCTTTGTGTGTGTGTGTGTGTGTGTGTGTGTGTGTGTGTGTGTGTGTGTGTGTGTGTGTGTGTGTGTGAGAGGGTTTGTGTGTGTGTTTGTTTATATCTGTGTATGTGCAAGACTACCCAAAAAAAGGAGTTCTGGGATTTAATAAAGTCTGACTGAATATTTTTGTCTTTACGCAAAATCACTCAATCACAAAATCAGGCTGTTTCCGGGGTTACCTCGTGCTCTAAAGCACACACAGGAAAACACACTCATACACACACACACACACACACACACACACACACACACACACACACACACACACACACACACACAAAGATGATCCTCTTATACGGGCTCATTAACTCTGTAGTGCGTTGATTAGCTACTCAACAATCACGCTGTTATTATTACTGACATCAGAAGAGCCTCTCTCTCGCCCTCTTACACATGCGAGAGAGTGATGTGGGGAAGAAGGAGGCCCTCTTAGGACAAAAAGGTTGAGAAAAAAGCTCTGACTAAGGAGGGGAATGTGAAATAAATCATCGCGTAAGAGATTCAGAGTGTGAATCTTAAACAAATGAGAAGAAGAAGAAGTG